AATGCAATGCACCATAAACATAGGTCAGGGTAAACACAGCAAAGGGTCCAGTTGATTGTTGCAAAGGGAGCACATAACCTGGTTACAAGTCTCATAACTACTTCTTACATAACTACTTCTTAATTAGTCGATAAGAAAAGAAAGACGCTATGATTTATATCGATGGCTATACTACCAAATATATGATCACCTCAAACTATCTATAGTAGCCAAACTTATTGGGTTTACGTCTTGAAATTTCTCCTTTGGTTAGATTATAGATGGTGTCTTCCATAGTATTACTTCAAAAGAAAGTGTCCTTAGACATGTTTCTTATTTCTATTAATTTTCCCAGGACTAGTTTTTTTTATGTCGGTACAGGAACTTGTCAAGCCTTCTTCCAACCTCCAATTTACACCACATTAACCTCGCCTTGGTGGTTCTACTGGTCTAAGATGGGTAGGATCCCATTTCACACAGAGCTCCATTCTTCTATGTTAACTGATATTTGATTACCTGATACTTTCATTTTTATCATTCCCATATATTACTGATTCAAATAGCAGCAATTAATCACGTATAAAAACTCATCTCATATTTGTAAATAGTCATATTCCAGTAAAAGATTGTGATGCTATTTACATCCTCTGATGCTTCATGACAAATTACAACATATATCTATATGATAATTAAATAAAGAAAGGAGAAAAACCTTTTCTTTTAGTAGATCAGAAACATCCATATCTCCATTGATGTCTTGAGATGGTACTAAATTGGATGCAAGACTAATCTGTTCTTGCAGAGATGAATACATATCTGAGACGGTGTCAAGTAGAAACGTATCTACCCCATGTGCTGCAACGAATGAAACAGAAATAGGATGGCTATCATGCTTCCCCAGTGGAACAACAACCTGACAAAACAAATGTAACTAGATATATGTCATATACCATAGAGAAGTAGCTAAATGGATAATTGTTCTGCTTCTAAGAATCATCTGGATAAATTTTATATGTCAAAATTAGTAGGAAAACATACCTGACAACAGCCAGATATCCCTGCTATGCTTAACAATGAAAACATCCGATCCTCGAGCTCAGGGGTCAATTTTTTCTTAGAACAGCGTTTAACAGGGAAATCTGAGGTTGTGGGAATTACCAAAATCCCGTCATCCTAGAAATGTAGGTATAGAACTAATCACATGAACAAAATAATAAGAACGAAAAGTAAGAACTGAAACAGGACCAATTCAGATCAACACACAACAATGGAATCCACTAAGCACACAAGTTGTCTAGGACATCACAATAATGACTTGAATAAAAAAGGCTGCTGAGAAATTTCTTCAATTTACTGTTGCAAATAAAAGTGCATGCAGTTGAAAGTACAAGGATGACACATCAAGGAAATTCCACAAAAAGAAACAATATTACATGTATCAGGACCTTGTTACATTAAGATCTAGTCAACTTCAGTATTAACACAATAGATTAACCAGAAAAAGTAAGGGAATTATTTCACTTGTACACTCTCCTACTGATAACTAAAGGATGCAGTATCAAACCTATTTAGGTCGTGATTTTTTGCACAACTCTTATAATTTAGAAGAAAGGCTGGCGAGAAAAAGAAGCATGGGGAAGAAATACAAAAAAAGAGGATGAAAAAAGTTGTTATTATTCACAAGTTGCAAGTTTAAAGTATCTCATGAATCATGATACACTGACACGCACATGCACATTTACTATAACGATCATGAGAACATGCCAATAATCTGATCAGCATGTGCAGACATGAAACACGATGTTCGTAACTAGAAATCTAATTTGAAGTTTAACTACAAAGTTACCCATGTTTAGATATTTAAATGAACAACAAAAATTTGGGAGGGCATCCTTGGAGAGCAAAATTCAAATCAGTAAAATGTTGTGCGAGAAATAATCCATGAAATAAAAGAATCAATACGTTAATCTTACATCTATTGAAACAAAAATGCCACATGCAGCTTGGTGAATCCAGTCCACCTCTCAAACTTAAGCTGAATTAACGGGGATGCATTTTGAACTTATATTTCCCATTCGGGTTGGAGAGAATTCCAAATTCTCACCCAAGTACTCAACTGTCATGTCATTTTGCTGTTAGTTGCAGCAGCGCAACCTGACATGATCCTACAATGCAAGTATAGTTATATTCCTCATAACAAGAGATGCATAGGTATTACTCACGTGGATAGCATCTAAAGTGCTACATTATATCATAAACAATAATAAGGATTGATATTTTAAAGAACTTTCTCTTTCACGATCCTTTAATTATAACCTTCCATCTCATCCCTGTCCACCAACAGCCACCCCTCTTTCCAGCAGCCTTTCCCTATAATTTAATCCTCCTTGAACATCTGTCCTCTTTCAAGCTCAATAAAAAATTAGGAAGGATGATGACATACGCCATACCCTCATTCGTTCCTTTCGCCTTACATAGCCAAGCCCTCCAGCCAGTAGATATTCCAAGTCTGAGTGCAGGTTGTAGAATATAGGATCCCATGTCAGGTTCGAATTGATTCCCCAAAGTAACAGCCTGACTCAAGCTGCATGTAAACCTGAGTGCCTAGGCAGTCAAGTCATACGTGAATAGCTCCAACACATCTTTTCTTTCATAAAAATGTAATATCAAACAGTTCCACAACCAGCTATAAACCTTACATGCACCATTGAAGTTGTGTTTTCGTTGAGCAAATCGTGTTAAAAGTGAGCTTGACACAAAATCAAAATCAAAATCAAAAAGGGTAATTGTTGAAGGCTAATGTTGCTTATGCGATATGCAGTATAAGCTCAACCAAAAAAGTGACCTCTACATCTCTTCTAAGGAGGAAAAGAGTATGGAAGAGAGGAACTATAAACACTCTTGCAATTAATTAAATATATGAAACATGATATACCAAAAAG